AATCATTGAAATGGACGAGAGAAGTGGGGGCAGTGAAGCAGATAGGGCCCATGGGAGTCAGTGAGAGAACAAAAGCAGCCCTTCTGCTAATTGACTGCAGAATTAGCCCCATTTTCCCCAGTGGGACTGTGGCGAGGCTGTGGCAGATGGAGGCAGACTGGACACCGGAGCAGAAAAAAGGCCCACAAAACCTGTCGTGAAGCTGTCCACAATTGTGGGTCACAACACCCCAGCACGTTTGTTGTTTAACAGGACATGGTCAAGCGTACAGAAAGCATGGAGATGGATGGGGATTAGAATGGTCACAAAATGAGGTTAAGGGCACCAAATGAGGAAGAAAGAGAACGGATCAGCGAGGTTACGAGAATGTATGATAGTTACGGGGGCGGCATGGCTCAGAGATTCGATCCCCGGCCATTGTGACCATGTCGAAGGGTCTCTGAGCAAGATACTGAACCCCCAGTAGCTCATGATGCTGCGTCATCATTCGATGAATGAGGTAACCGTGTGAAGCGCTTTGAGCACCAGAGGTAGAAAAGCGCTATACAAGCGACAGCCTGTTTGTCATGATATTTAAAGCTTAAATCCTATCAGAAATGATTCTTTGATGAGTTGGCTGGTCACTTTGCTGAAACCACTTTTTTAAGTGAAAAAATAGGCACCAGGCCTCTTTGGGGATTACTTTGAAGAATGGATTTACAGGTTCTTTGTCACTTATAAACATAGCATGAAAATCAGAGCACTACAGGCACCACTCATAGGTTGTTTTGAAATTCAAACAAGGTGGGAAGTTTGAAAAAAAAGTCCTTTTAAAGAAGCAGGAGGATGCTTTCTTTTCTGGGCTGCACCGTGACTGTCATAGTAATCTGATATGACAAATTCACATACAGTGGATTAGCTGCTGCCGGTGAAAGCCAGAGCAGTTAATATTTGTTGATGTTGCTTTTATCCAGCGGGTCCCTAGTGTCCCTGACGCTATGGTTACGCTGATGATAGGAGCAAAGGAAATGAAAGAAGGGGAAGGTTTGGAAATTAATAGAAAGGAAAGGCAACAAATAAAAAGGGGGGAAAAAAAATGAGCCACCATTTTGTATGCTGTCATAATCTTTGATGTTCTCCGACTCTTGATGTCGAGGCTATGAAAAATGCTTAGCTCAATTTAAGCCTCTTGCAAAAAAGGCCTAACAACTGTAATTAAATCATTAAATTCTTGTCTACGCTTCACAGAGCATAGAGAAAATTAACTTCCCACCAACCTCATTTTCTACTTGAACATGAAATAATGATTTTTTTTTTCTTGAGCTCATATAATTACAAAGCTAACATCTGATAGAGTCAGCATCCAGGGGGGATTATCACATGCATGAGTATTAGAGCTCATTACCAGCTTGACTGCAAAATTATTACATCTTGTAATTGGATGGTGAGATTTATACACAGATTGGCCGGGTTTCTGTAAGATTGTAATTACAAGCTTCATTGGTTTGCTACTTATCGGAACTTCACAGAGAAAACAACTGGTAAAATGAAATGAGCATTTCATTAACCTATCGCCTTATCAGGGGAAAAACCTGTGTAACGTTCATGTTTGCATTAACATAAATAGGATCATTCATTCTGCTGCCAGATAGCCTGGACCGGACCCTCTCTTTTCTCCAGGGCGGCGGG